TATATATATATATATATATTGTTCTATTATTTGTATATTTGTATATCCTTTTTTACTTTGATTAATGTATTTAAGGAAGATGCGTCTACAATTCGTTTCGTGGAAGAAACACATCCTCACATACCAATCTCTATCTCTATATTAGACGTCGTAAAATGTTTTAAAAGTGGACAGAAAGTGTACTAGATGACTTAAGCCAGCCACACCAACCAATCAAATAAATCACACTTTAGGGGGACCACCAAAAATAGAAATTGTTTTGGTCCAAAGTTTCAAAATTGCTCTACCACGCTTTCTTTTGGCTCACAAGAAACGTAGAGAGGTCTATAAGACACAAAATCAATGTAAATCCTCCAAGGTTCTATGAGAATTCAACAACACCACGCATCCCTCTTTCCCACCACACCATATTGCCTTCTCCTACTTCCACAAAATCAGCATTTCTTCCCACAGCCACTATTGAGTACCTCCAAATTTTTTATATCTAGCTCTTTCTCATCCAAGAATTTGGTTTCCCTTCATTTCTTCAACACTACCAATGTATTCCTTAACCCAACACAAGTATACACCAATCTTCCACTATCAAGTTTGCAAGATTCGTCCACTCTTACACCCGTCTCGCGTGTATTGTTCTATCACAACCACTACTACTACCACTACCATCATTTCTAAACCCAGAACCAATGATAAGTCATTGGTCATTGAGCCCCGACTTATACCAGAACCACTAACGGTGGTTACTACTGGTAACCACCGTCCCATGATCAATGACCAAAGTTTGCAATCAACATGGTCTCATAGAGCATGGGTGGCAGCTGGGTGCACAACTTTGCTCATTTCCTTGGGAGAGTCCATAAAGGGTGCAATGGATTTGAACATATGGATTGAGCCTATTTTAGCAAGTTGGGTTGGTTACATTTTAGCCGATCTTGGTTCTGGAGTTTATCATTGGGCCATCGACAACTATGGCGATGACTCAACTCCAATTGTTGGAGCCCAAATTGAAGCATTCCAAGGCCATCACAAGTGGCCTTGGACCATTACTAGGCGCCAATTTGCTAACAACTTGCATGCATTGGCACGTGCGGTGACCTTCACAGTACTTCCTATAGCCCTTGTTTGCCATGACCCTATTGTTCAAGGATTTGTTGGAGTGTTCTCAGGTTGCATCATGTTTAGCCAGCAGTTTCATGCATGGGCCCACGGCACAAAGAGTCGGCTTCCGCCGCTCGTGGTGGCGCTGCAGGAGGCCGGCATGCTCGTGTCACGGTTGCAACATGCAGCACACCACCGGCCACCGTATAACAATAACTATTGTATAGTGAGTGGAGTATGGAATGAGTTTTTGGACAAGCATAAGGTCTTTGAAGCCATGGAGATGGTGTTGTATTTTAAAACGGGGGTTAGGCCTAGGTCATGGAGTGAGCCTGCCTCTGAGTGGATTGAGGAAATTGAGACCCCTTCTCAAATCCAAGCCCAATGATTTGCATTCTCTTTTCCTTTTACTTTTTTACCATTTGTTGCTCACATGTGTATGAGTATTTGGTTGTTCTATCAAAGAAATTAAAAGCATTTGTTAGCCTCCGTACATGGATGTATTTGATAAGTAGCTTTTGGCTCATGTAATTTACACGATATAAATTATAATGTTTGAAAGGTTAAACATATGATATGAAAGGAAGTCTTTGTTGTTTCTTTTTTACAGTTATGTTTAACAGTTTTCTTTTGTAGCATCGAAAAGCGTTAAGGGGAAAAGAAGTTATTAACGATGTCACAATACACTATTAGATGTTACTATTATATAGGTAGTTGTATTAAATATTTAAAGGAAAAAATATGTGATACATGAAAAGTATCATTTTTTCTCTCTTGACATTTAACTAAAAACAGTAAAGATAAATCATACATAGACAAAATAAATTAAAACAAACATCATTTAAAATTACTATAAGAATTTTTGAAAATGTTAAATAATTTGATTTATAATAGATGTGTTTTAAAAGAAAATTTAATTTTAATACATTAGTTATATGGCAAATCAGTCAAAAATCATCATAAATATAATTTATCAAATAATTATTAAAAATATAATATTTTAATTATAGATGTTAATGTTTAATTGGATAACAACATTTAAAAAAAATCTTAGAAATATATATATTCTTATTTATAATAAAAAATCATTACTTGTGCAAATTGAATATAAAAGAAAAATTCTTGATACTCCGAATCTATCGTCCGAAATACATTCTGAATTTTAAAAAAAAAAATATTTTAAACTATTAAATATTAAATTAAATAATTATTTTATAATAAATTTATTAAAAAATATAAATATTTTAAGAATCGGACGCTGTTTTGGAACGTATAACAACTCTCAATATAAAATTATGCAAAATTCATTATAACAAGCTTTTTTTAATAACTAAAGTGCACCTAACTACATTTTATAGTAGTTTTTGAAACTGAACTTGAAATATAATTTAGTTTAATTTTTATAAAAATAATTTAATTTTTTATAATTTACTATATGCAAGTTTCTTTTTCATCCGTACATGCGATTTTTGTATCCGAGTTAAACAGGTTGATTACACAAAGCTCGTAAACTCGGTAGTTTCTACGAGTTAAAATTCGATTTTGACAATCATGTTTACAGAAAATGAAGTATATATTTCCGGTTCCCAAACACCATACATGTGTACACTAGATAAACATACAATTAATCACATTTTAGGACAAATAATTCAAGAAATCAAAAGCAATAGTAAATTTCAATATTGTAAATATCTAAACACAGGCCTTCAAAAATCAGACCTCAATTTCCTTTTCACTAAATTTATCAGGAATCAACTCCTACTAGAGATGAGATGGGTGACACACAAGGAAACCAGTACCTCCTTTTACCATCTCTATGGCCATCATCAATCATTGCAAGTCCTTCCTGCATGAATGAGCCAACAGTGTTTCATTATTATACATGATTTGTGATTAGTATGTATTAATCAGATAAAAGAGAAAGAAACAGATTTTTCTTAAAAAGATTTTAGTTATCTTACATCAAGTAATGTATCAAGGGCATCAACAGCTCGGCCGGAACTCCAAGATAACCGCCTCTCTACTTCATCAACAGTCACAAATCCTTGAGCCTGTAGTGAAGAAAATGCTATGTAAATGTGAGAAGATTAATCTTTCTCGAATACCAAGCTGATTACATTGCTAGTTTTGCTACATTGGATTCGTTGACACACTTTTCTTCACAACAAGGAATCCAAGTTTTAACTAATAACAATCAAATTAAACCACGCCATGGAAGAAGCTTCCTGTGCTCAAACTTTCATTTTAATTGCCTCTGTGCACCAGTAGTTTATATATGTACATATTGTTAACAATAAGACAACATGCAAAGCAAGAGAGTTCAAATTAACGCAAGAATAATCAAACAACTAAAATAAAAATTACCCCAAACAGTAAACTCTAAACACTACCAGATTTTAATAATGAGCTAATGGGAAGAAGTGTAAGGATTTCCTGATTATTTGAGGAATTGCAGTAACAAATTTAAAATTATATCATGTCACCAATCTTCTATTAATATATACAAGACAGTAAGTCGACAATGAAATGATACTAGATACTAGATAGACTAAAAAGATAAAGTCAATGCAACTTTCTCTTTTGTAAGCCAAAAAGAGAACATCAACGAACTACTTTGGTATCATCCTTTTTGACCTATTAATGTGTCTCAAAATATTCAGATTTATACTCAACAAGAAATTAAAATACAAGCTCAAGTAAGTTCATAAGCCCACAACTCTTGGACAACAGAAAAGTGAAAGGAGCAAGTAGACATTAGGGAGTAATGACACCTTAAGCGTATGTCATACATAAGGGGATCCAATGAAACACACATTAGCTTATCCAAAAAGAAGAAATAGTTGTTACCTGGGCAAGTTCTAGAATTTCATTGTGGTCTTTGTTCAACTCTGTTGGAACTGAACGAACAAGTTTTTTCTTTCCAACAGAAATAACTTCAAAACCACTACCCAGAACCTGAAAATTTAGTTAACGTCAGTGACAAACACCACGGGACCAACAAGGACAGATGAAACAAATCATTCAGAGATTTGACAAATGAAGATGCATGTTCCAAAAAGAAAAATTATAACAAAAAGGAAAATGTACTACTCACACACACACATGCACTCCAAAATCCAAATGTTCTTCCAACGTATGCATGCAAGTTAGGTTCACTACATGTAATTTATTTAATCCAACCATACGAAAATTAAGCACTTTTTTTCTAAAAAAATATTATGCAATAAAGATAAAAACTAGTTAATCATAACACTAGTATCTTTTGATAAGCACTATGACCCATTACTTAATATTCAGTAATTAGTGTGGTAGCATAGAGGCTAAAGATCCTATCAATAGAGTTTTTCTTTTTTCAAAAATATTTAATTATTTGTTTAAACCTCAAAACATAAAGATCTATTCACAGTTGTCCTATCTTCTATGTACAATTTATAGATTAAGGAAGAGTTTTGTCCTATCATACATCTCAAGTTTACTTTCAGGAGAAAACTGAAGGCTACTCCTACCACTTAAAGCACATTTCAGAGCTAGTCCAAAATTGTCCATAGAAGTGGACTACACTCACAATTAACCCTTTTCACGTCCCAATCTACCCTTTTAACTGAATTATTAAGTTTCTGTTTCTTTTTTATGATAAATGCGTTTGGCCATTACCATTCATGATCTTTGCTCATACCATCATCAAGTTTATGTCTTGTGAAGCATCAAGATTCCCGTCCCAGATCCCAAATGGTTGTAAGTGGTGTACATTAGTTAAAGGAAATCATGAATTCAATGTAATGGGGTTGTGAAGAATGAGATATTGCTGCTCAATTATGGTTATTACCGTAGCAGGATTAGTTAATGGCAAACAGTCAAAGGTATGCTGTAAATACATTTACGTTGAAAATACACTGATGTACAAACATATGGGATAACTGAACGCTTAAATTATTTGAGATTGTCTTTGGCATTTTTTAAGATTTCCCGAGTCAAACATACACTATTTACATCACATTCATAAACAGTAACAGTCATAAATAATCTAGTTTATGGGAAACCTAAAGCACAAGACCTTCAGCTTACTAATAGCACGCAAGCAATCATCCTCGGAAACAACTCCACGATCACTTTTTCGTCTTTGACGAAGGAGATGGCAGAGTTCTTGCAGGTTGATCAGTCCTCCATTGTGGGCTCTAGTGGCCAAGCAAATATCCACTATTTGAACCCCTGTTCAGCCAAGTAACTTGTCTTAGCATACGTGTGAAGAAAATAGTGAAAATAAGCAGCTTGCATTTAATTAAAATAATAGATCGGGAATGATTTTTTAAATCAAAAGAGATAAATACTTCAACAATTATAAGTTTGTAACATGCTGAATTATGATGTAATGTGAATAAAACCATAAAGAAACCACCATGTTCGTCAGGAAAATCTTATCTTAGAAGATAAAAGCCTAGTTAATAATAGAATACCAAGCTTTGACAGTTATAGATTTAATTAGTCATGTAATTAGAATGTCAGATTCGTTATTTTAAGTTTTATATGTTCTTCATAACATTAAGACTACTTCCATCAATCATAATCCCAGTCTCTGCTTTTATATAAACCACAGATGTTTTACCTATATTTCTGGTGTTAGATTCCATTTAAAACCAATTAGCATTAAGTGTATTTACCCAACAAACAAGTATATAATCCACACCCAAATAATTGAGGCAAGCAATGTCCACTTTCCAACATCTCACTTTGTAGATGTCTGCTAGACCCAGCGATATACAGCAAAAACAACAGAAACAATGGAAATGGGTTTTGAGCTCGAATACCATGTTACATTCCATCTTAGAACCAACCAACATTAAGTGAAGATAACCAATAGCTATATTAATTGAGGCTATCAATGTTAGACTTTTCAATGTCTGGAACATAACATTAGTTATCACTTGCCATTACATTAAGCATATACCTTGCCCCATGAAAACCTACCTAACCCTAACTTTTTTGTTTGTTTTTCAAAAACCAAAAACAAAAGATTTAACGAGAACTATCAAACTAAATATATATACATGGTTAAAGGCTGAAATACTACAAGAACAAACACAAGTAAACGTACAGCCTTAGAAAATAATGTCCACAATAAATTAACAGTAGTGCAGTGATTTGACAATACTTATTCCAGCATTGCATGTCTTATCCTATAATTTTTCTCAGGTATTCCCCATTAATTATCATAACAACAGCGTATGAATATTAGTACATAAAAGATCCACACATATATCAGAAACTTATTTCAAACAAGGTTAAGAAAGATATCACCAACCGAGTTCATAATAGAAGTCACCAATTCCTAAAAGCTCTGCCCAGAAACCTTTGTTTGAGGCCAAGGGATCCACTCCAACTTTAGCACACATCTCATGAAACTGTGATCTGAATGCAGGGTTCTTGCGGATGTCATTCTGAACAAGTAATATCAACCATTAGAATCATTTAATTTAATCAACAATTGCAACAAAAAGATAGTAATAATTAAAGTGAGATTTCTTTTATGAGGCCAACAACAAAAAACATGAACAGTGTGGATTGTTCCTTGTTAGTCAACCACTACCCCGAAGTTTCAAGGCTATCAAATTAGTCAAGCACAGCCCAGAACACAGCACTACTGACATGCAAAGTCAGCAATCAGCAACATGGCTAAAAAATTTCAAGTTCATATTTCTATGCAATGATTCCAACCACAGATTCTGCATTACACCTCAAAACCAATGCCTAAACATATTGAAGTTTGTGAGGATCCCACAGCCACCAAACCCATCTCCAAAGCTACGAACTTTTACTAACAACAACACATAAATACAGTTAGTTTAGTGTTTTTTGTTTGTTCTCTCAAATCAAAATTAAAATTGAGAAGTGCTAATAGCACACTTTCCAACACACTCCTCTTAACACATTCATCAGAATTTATTGAAAACTACAAAAATAAGAGAAAGACAGTTATTAAATAGGATGTAGAAACCATCAAATTTTGTATTTTCTAATAAATTTCAATCAATTAAAGAGAGTGTGTTTAAAAGAATGTACGAGGGTGACTTGCTAACATTTCCCATTAAAACTTCACCTCAAAAATTCACGTAAAAAGAAAATGTGCATTAAAAATCAACATAAGCTACTGACAGTAAACTCCAATTTTAATTGAAGAACACAACCAAATGCATTTAAGCTTTGTCCTATACTAATTTCATTCAAAAACAGCCAAGCCCAGCACCTAAAAACGTCAAAACAACTCCTTTTGCACTTAAAACATCCATTTCAACAAAAACCCAATTGAGTTTTAACGACACCCCATCATTGAAAACGGCGCAGCACAAGAATGAAACAATCCGACAGACAAATCACAGAGAATTTGACGACAAAAAACAGAAGTAATTATTCAGATTGCAACTAAACAAGTACAAACCAAAGACTTTGCATAAGAAAAAGGAAAGCTAGAAACTAATCACAGGAAACTAGCAAAACAAAAATGAAGTATTACATCATGTGCCGCATCAAAAAACGAACTCATTATAGCACCACAAACCTGGGTTCAACTTCCCACACACACACACACACACACACACACAAAAAAAAAAAAAAGAGGAACCTTGTGTTTGCGAGCAAAGTCTTCTAGCTGAGAGCGAAACGTAGCAAGCTGCTCCTTCATCAAATCGGTTCTGATCTTTGCGACATTTTCACCGAGCAAACGGAATTGATCCCTCGCAGCGGCATGCGTCTGCAGCCCTCCAATTCCAGGCCTTCTTCTCATCTCCCTTTAGCCTCTGCCAAATCTTTCTTCCAATTTTACGAATTTTGCAAATTGGGTTTTCTGCAAGGTGCTTCCTTTCGATCAAAATTGAAACAATTGAACTAATATATGTCATGATGATACTATCCTAACTCCCACATTAAAAAATAATTAAAATATATAAACTAACAATATAAATCGAATAAATATCTAATAAATTTTTATTAATATTATTATGCAACTTGAATATAAAATAAATTTATTACAGTGAAGAAAAAAACACATCTTATTGTCTTGTTATAAGTTATTAAGCAATTTAAATTTATTAATTTTGGAATAATTACTTTAATAATTATATTTAAATGTTTTTATAATTAATTAATGTTTACAAAATATATTAAAATTAAAATGTTTATGCGCTTTTTTGGTAACTTTGGTATTAATGCTATTTTGCTCCCAATATAATATATTTCATAGTCATAATTAACCCTAAACATCTTAGTTAAAAGACACGTGCTACTATTATTTGTATTAATTAATACAACTAAATATTTATACATTAAAAATATGGATTAATATATGCAAGTTTTTCTAATTTAACAAGAGATATCAAATTTGAGTGGGAGAATATATACGTTTTTTAAGAAAAAAAATTATTTTATTAATAAATAAAATAAATATATTTTAACTTTATTTTTAAGTTGCATATCTTATGGTATGAATTACTTCTTTTTTTTCATTTTATTTGATGTTTTAACAAAAAAAAAACATTTTATTATCATTTTACAATATTATTGAAGTATTAAACTATTTTTATTATATTAATTATTTTATGAAATAAGAAAATATAAAAAAAAATATAGATGAGAAATTTTAATTAATATGAAAGATAAAAGAGGTGTATGATAAATTTAACATACAACTTTAAATGATCCTTCGAAGAGGAGTTTAAGTATATTTTTTCCATGACATACCAATGCCTAAGTGATGATTCTCAATTTTAATACCTTATTACATGGCCATGAAAGATAAGGTGGTGTAGGTTTCTTCCCCGTGAGGATGATAGAGTTCTAGGATAAAATTCAATATTCTAACCTTATAGATGTTAGATTCTTGGATCCTCCTTTTATCAGACAAAAAATGATCTCTTTCAACACTTAGATTATTTATTTATTGACATTCAATGGTGTTTACATTTTTATGATACTTTGGTGGGTCATCTTTCTTTATTTCAATTTGATTGTAATTTTATTTTTATTAAGTTTAATCAGGAGCAACAAACTATTCAAAGGTGAAAATTGTTTAAATTCATGGTGGCTTAGTTGACTCGCTAGGGGGTTTCAATCAATTCCTAGATACAGTTTTACTCTTGGATTTCCTTGAAATATCAAATTTCATTAGTTGTAGAATATCTTTTGCTAGTGAAATAAGGATATGTTTGAGAATGTTTTTAAAAAGAAGCATTGTTTGATGTAACAAATTAAGATAGTCATTTTTTCAGTCTAATAAAACATATTCTTCCTATCTACAAAATGTGCAATTTCAACTTTGGGAATATGATGAAGTGTTGAGACAAGATGAGCTTTTGTGGTTCTAGAAATCTTGATTCAAATAATTTTCATTTGGAGATCGTAATACTAAATACTTATAAGGAGTAACAACTATCGAGAAATAGAAAAATACTTATAGGTCTTAATGGATAATATTAATAGTCCAAGGAAATTGAATAACTAATAATAAAGGGTTTGAATAACACGTGACATTTTATTTTTTTATGATCTCTCAAAAAGTTCATAATGTTTTACTTTTCTTAGAAATAAATGATATATTTCATAAGTTGTCTAATTACTTTAATCATTCATTTCTTAATGTAGTGACCAAAGAGAGAATTAGATAAACTATTTTCTCAATGGGACCTATAGAGCCAATAAGACTAATGATCTTCAAGCAGAATTTTATAAAATTCAATTAATGGCATATTATGATGAATGAATTTTGTAATATGATTTTGGATATTTTCTAGGATCTAACTAACATCTTTTAATTAAATATCACTCTTATTACTTTCATCCCTAAAATTGATGCAACTATTTGTTTGAAACATTTCGGACTTATCCATCTAGCAACGTTTCTTATAAAATATTTACAAAAATTTTGATTTCTCCTTTGTGGTCTATGATGGAGAATCTAATTAGCCCTTGCTAGTATAGTTTTGTTCGTACAAGACAAGTAAAGGACACCATCATTGTAGTCTAGGAAGTCATGAATTGTATGTGATACAATAACGGTTTTTTTGGTTGAATGACTGTAAAATATGACCTGAAAATGCCTATGACAAGATGAATCGGAAGTTTGTTAAAGACATGTTATTGGATGCTAGGTTGCCTCTATAGTCTGTTTCTTTAATGTGACATTGTATTTCCACACCCAAAATGATGATGTTGGGAAATAATGAAGCTTTGCAAAAAATTATATCCCTAAAGAGGATTACGCCAAGGTGACCATATATGTATTTAAAGATTATATCATATTATTTACTTCATAGTTGACCACAAATATTGGAAGCATATAAAGATAGCTAGAGGGGGAATCTAGAGTTGTCCATTTGCATTTGTAGATGACATTCTTTTGTTTGCAGAAGTTGACTTTCAGTTTGTAAAAGTTATTCATTTTATAAAAGCTTCGATCAAAAGGTGAGTTTTGAGAAGATGCAAATCTTATTTTCTAAAACCATTAATTGCCATGTAAAGTGTTTTAAAATTCAGATCAGATCAGCCGATCGAACCGGTTGAACCGGAAACTAGTGGTCCAATCGGTCCAAATCTTAAGTTGGATCGATTATGCATTTGATCCGTTTTAAACTAGATTGAACTGATCAATTTTTTGGTCCGACCAGTGAATCGGTGGGTTAAACCGGTTTAATACAAAAAAATTTAATTTTTTTTAAGGGACACAAACCACAAAAATAACAATGAGAATTGAATCTTTTAATGGAAGAACAAAGAGTCTTATTAAGCATAACAATGACTACTTATTCTAATGTATTTATTTGTAATATATGCAACTTAAATAACTTTTATAGCATATAATTAATTTTAAATTATACATTTAATAATATACTATCTATGTAGATATTACATATATTATTTTGTGATATCAATTGCAAGCATATTATATATGTACATATTATTTATATTTTTAATTTGTATTAATATACAGTTAACATGTAATTTTTTTATGTATTTCTTTATATAAAATAAAAATAAAGATAATTTTAAATAAGATAGAAATTGAAATTTAAAATAAGATATGAATTTATTAAAATTTATAAGTATAAAATATATTTAATATGAATATTTTTATAAAAAGATATTAATAAAAACTGGGTCATACAGTTTAATTAGTGACTCACCGATTCAATCTTTGACCCACTAATCTAGTACTCTACTCGATTTGTTGACCGGTTCTGTTTTTAAAATTATACATGTAAAAGGCAAGCATCAAAAGCATTTAGTTTCCAAAGCATACGAATGCCTCTCCCCTTCGGATGGAAGCCTCTCCACATCGACCGTTACAACGGCACGACAGATCCGGACGAGCACATCGACATGTATACTACACAGGTAAACCTTTACACTAATGAGGACGCTATTCTATGTAGGGTTTTTCTGACCTCACTCAAGGGGGTTGCACTCAACTAGCATACCCAGCTACCTGCCGAGTCGATCGATAGCTTTGGCACTCTGGTCAGACGGTTCACGGCACAGTACGCAACAAACCGACCTTATCACATAATGTTAGTTGCCCTGGCCAGTCTCAGACAGAGCGACGATGAACCACTCCGGACGTTCATGGAACGCTTTGCCAGCATCTCGGTGAAAATTCGAAATTTGAATCCAGAGGTCGCCCTACACGCCATGCTCATGGCACTCAAGCCCGAACCGTTTGTCAACAGCCTATGTCGTGAAGCTCCTCGCGACATGGACGAGCTCCATGCCCGTGCTGCTGGGTACATACAGATGGAAGAACACTCCGCTTTTCATGATCAGGTTTGCGGAAAGTCACAAGTGAAACCGGACAATGGTCACAAGGACAAAGTGAAAGTCAACAACGACAGCCAGTTCAAGAAAACTGCTAGGACAAACAAGGGGGGAGATACGACTTCTACACTCCCCTGAATACGCCCCGAGTTTATATCTTGGAGGAGGCCAGTAATAGCAACCTGCTCACTCTGCCACCACCAAGCCACACTCCCAACAGCGCGGACAAATCCAAGCACTACAGATATCACAGAAACCACGATCACACCACTGAAGAGTGCCGCACACTCCGAGACTGTATTGAGGAACTCATTCAGGCAGGTCACCTCGGCCAGTACGTCCAGCGATAGCAAGGCCACAGAAGAGGCTACAACGGACGAGGACGGGGCAGAGGTCGTGGTTTAGGAGCCCGCACAGACCAACCCTCTAGTTCTCAGCAAAACGCTGGTGGCGCAGTGCAAGCCGAGGTAAGCCAAGAAACAGGGTCAGCCCCCTTGCAGGGCGTCATCAACACAATTGCAGGTGGCTTCGCAGGGGGAGGCTCTAGTAGCTCGGTGCGGAAACGACATTTGCGCAGCATCAACAACGTCCACTCGGCTACCTTGGCCTCGCATCAAAGCTCCCTGCCAATCACCTTCACTGATGAAGACTTCGTTGATGTCAGCCCCAACCAGGATGACCCAATGGTCATCGCCGTGGAGGTAGCCAATTGGGAGGTCCACAAGACGTTAATCGACCAAGGGAGCTCGACTGACCGCGCTGTTGGGAGTGTGGCTTGGTGGTGGCAGAGTGAGCAGGTTGCTATTACTGGCCTCCTCCAAGATATAAACTCGGGGCGTATTCAGGGGAGTGTAGAAGTCGTATCTCCCCCCTTGTTTGTCCTAGCAGTTTTCTTGAACTGGCTGGCGTTGTTGACTTTCACTTCCGCGCTGTTGGGAGTGTGGCTTGGTGGTGGCAGAGTGAGCAGGTTGCTATTACTGGCCTCCTCCAAGATATAAACTCGGGGCGTATTCAGGGGAGTGTAGAAGTCGTATCTCCCCCCTTGTTTGTCCTAGCAGTTTTCTTGAACTGGCTGTCGTTGTTGACTTTCACTTTGTCCTTGTGACCATTGTCCGGTTTCACTTGTGACTTTCCGCAAACCTGATCATGAAAAGCGGAGTGTTCTTCCATCTGTATGTACCCAGCAGCACGGGCATGGAGCTCGTCCATGTCGCGAGGAGCTTCACGACATAGGCACAAAATTGTGTGTCAACCACCTTTCCAATTTTCCATGTAAAATACACTTGCTGACCAAAATTGCAGTACAAGTGTATATACAATCAGTATGATCCGAGTTCGTATAAATCAATATGTTCCTCATTTCCTCTAAAATTTTCCCGTTTACAAGTGTAAAATATCAACTATGGTAGGCCTAGAAAAACTAATGAAGCAAAGCCAAAACCAATATGGAGATTCGGGACATTTATGGATCGGTTCAACAAGGCTGCCTTGGAGATTCGGGATCTTAATCCTGCTGTTGCACTACATCATCTCACGACAGCCTTAAAGCCCGGGCCGTTTGTTAATAGCATATGCAAAAAACCTCCTTCGGACATGAATGATTTACGGAGGCGGGCCAATAAGTACATGCAAATGGAAGAATTGACTGAATATCGTAATCAGGCCCGAGCTGAACCATCGAACAAGCCAGAGAAGCAGGCAGAACAGCCATATAGGGGGCGAGGCAAAGACATATCTCTTCGGGATCGGCCTACTCGGGGTCCGAAGTACACTCACTATACTCCACTCAATACAAGTCGTGCCATGGTGCTTGAGCAAGCTTTGGCTACAGAAGTGCTAGCAGTCCCGAAAAGAGCATCCACTCCACCATGGGCGGATACTAGCAAATCTTGTCGGTATCATCGCAATTGTGGACATTCTACTGACGAGTGTGCGGCCCTCAAAGACAAAATTGAAGATTTGATTAAACAGGGCAAATTACATAATTTTGTGGATCGGTCAGGCTCGTCCCAATCTCGTTCATATCAACCCCGATATCAGGATCGGCGCGGTCAGGATCGTTCTGATAGACCTCAACGCGAACGAAGCAGGTCACGTGAAAGGAAAGATGATTCGACACCTTCGCATAAGAGGGTTATTAATACAATCGCAGGTGGATTTGCAGGTGGGGGCACAACTTCTTCAGCCCAAAAAAGACATCTACGAGTCGTCCGATCAGTCAATGCCATTGATAGACAACCCTCCCGACGACTGCCAACAATAACTTTCACTGATGCTGATTTCCAAGGCTTTGACCCGGTGAAAGACGATCCAATGGTCATCAGTGTAAAAATTCACAATTGCATCGTCAAGAAAACACTGATTGACCAGGGCAGTTCGACGGATATCCTATATTGGAATACCTTCAAGCAGCTGGGCATTTCGGAAAAAGAGTTGATCCCTTATGATGATCCATTGGTCGGTTTCGCAGGTGAGAGGGTAAGCACCAAAGGGTATATTAAACTTTTCACTCGCTTTTGTTTTGACGAACAGGAAAGTAGGGAAATTCAGATAAAATATATCGTGGTTAATGCTAACACCTCCTATAACATCCTCCTCGGTCGGCCATCCTTGAACATGTTAGGGGAAATTGTCTCAACACCGCACCTAGCGATGAAGTTTCCGTCTGACAAGGGGAAGATCATCACAATACACGCCGATCAGAAGGCTGCCCGAGAGTGCTACTATGCCATTTTACGAGTTGCGACGATCGAAGAGAGGAATTTGAAATCCAAGAGGATTCATGCGGTTAACCATTCGGCAGGGGTTGAGGAGTCGATTTGGGATCTTGACCCGAGAATGAACAACGAGGAGCGTGTAGAACCAGTTGAATCAAAAAGGCAGTTGCAAATCGGATTACACCCAACTCAGGTTACATATATTGGTGCTGATATATCTGAAGCAGATCGTTCCATCCTGAGCCAGGTGATAATAAAAAACAAGGATCTTTTTGCATGGACACCTTCTGACATGCCAGGCATTGACCCCAAGGTCATGTGTCATAAATTATCAATTTGTGCCGAAGCAAGACCGGTATCCCAACGTAAAAGAAAAATGAGAATGGAACGGAAGCTTGCAGTGGAAACAGAGGTAGCCAAGTTGCTTGAAGCCGGGTTCATTCGGGAAGTTCACTACACCACTTGGTTAGCAAATGTGGTAATGGTGAAAAAGCCGAACGAAAAATGGAGAATGTGTATTGATTACACTAATCTCAATAAAGCCTGCCCTAAGGACGCTTATCCACTCCCGAACATAGATCGGCTAGTTGACGGTGCCTCCGGTCACGGAGTCTTGACCTTTTTCGATGCTTATTCGGGGTATAATCAAATCCCCATGCATCCCCGTGATGAAGAAAAAACAACCTTCATAACTGACTCGGCCAATTATTGCTACCAAGTAATGTCCTTCGGGTTGAAAAACGCAGGTGCAACTTGTTGAGCTTAGGAGAGCTTGAAGCTTAAAGAGTTTTGATGATCACAACATGCAACAACTTGGAGAGCACAAAAATAAAGTTAAAGAAGAGTCAAAGAGAATGCTATGAACTGGAACTATGTAATAGAACTTAGGAAATGAATTTTTGTAATTGTGTGTGCTTTGTGCATTGAGCAAATCTTGTCTAGGATTAAGTAGGGAGTAGATGATGATGAGTTAAAAACATTGGAGAGTTATTTTGAGGCTTAAAATGAAATTTTAAGAACTAACTCAAAATAATCGATTATTGTTAAATATAATCGATTATTTCAGCAAATGGGCTAAGTGGCATGCCTTGCTGTAATAATCGATTATTTGCCAAAATAATCGATTATTTCAGAAACAACTCTCTGGAATAATCGATTATCCAGCTAAATAATCGATTAAATTGTTCTTGGTTGATTTCCAGAAATCTGAAGAACAAAATAATCGATTATTCTTTAAAATAATCGATTATCTGGGTTTGAACTTTTATAAATAGACTTGAACTCTTTTGAAACTTAAGACAATTGAGTAAGAACTGATAATCAACTTGTGAAAACGTTTTAGAGAGTCTGTGTGACATCTTGGAGAGTTTTCTTTGTGAAATCCAAGAGAAAAACGTTTGTGAAAAGCTTGTGAGGAAATCATCATCATCATCATACTCTTGAAAGAGGAAGACAAAGATTTGTTCAAGAATTCCAGGTGAATTCGTTCCATTTTAATTCTTTGTGAATCTTTGTGGAAAATCTTGAGAAGGGGTTCTCAAGTGGTGAAGTTTCTTGTAGTGGGATCTACAAGGGTTGCTTTCTTGGGGTCAAGAAAGTGGTTATCTTTTAGTAGTGAAGTATATGCATGTGTGTTTGCTTGTAAACCTTCTTGCTTAAAGATAGTGGAAAAATCTTAATCAGGTGGTGATTAAGGACTGGATGTAGGTCACATGTGGAGTGGCTGAACCAGTATAAAAGACTTGTGCAATCTTCTTCTACCCTATCTCTTATATTGTGTAATTCATTGGTGGAACTTTAAAGAAGATAAAACTTGATTAATAAGTGCATGTGAATCTTGATGGTTTGAATCTGTAATTGAATATTATTGCTAAACCTTACTGTGTTGAATCAAGTGAGCACATTGCATTCATATCATCATAACAAGTCTTTAGGAGGGCTTTATTTGAAAATTCTGTCATAGAAAAGTTTTGATTGAAATTAAGATCCAAAAACTCTGATAAATTTTTAAAGGGTCATTAAATCCAATTCACCCCCCCTCTTGGATTGTGCCATTCTTTTCTATCACAACTTATCAAAGATTGATGAATAAAGTTTTTCGACACCAACTCGGTAGGAATATGGAGGTGTATGTTGATGATATGGTCGTCAAATCCAGAGACCTTGAACAACACGTAATTGATCTTTCGGAAGTGTTCCAACAATTGCGTAAATATGACATGAGGCTTAACCTAGAAAAGTGTGTGTTTGGAGTGTCAGGGGGAAAGTTCCTCGGCTTTATGCTATCGGCAAGAGGCATTGAAGCCAATCCCGATAAGTGCATGGCAGTCATCAACATGGTCAGCCCTCGGAACCTCAAAGAAGTTCAAAAGCTTGCAGGACGGCTCACAGCTTTGTCACGGTTCCCCCCATGTTTGGTGGAGATAGCAAAACCTATTGTTGGATTGTTAAGGAAAGTGAAAAAGTTTGAATGGTCTATTGAATGTGAAGAAGCGTTTCGGATGTTGAAGGAACGTCTAGGCTCTCCCCCCGTCCTTTCAAAACCTCATCCTCAAGTGGATATGATAGTTTATTTGTGCGTCTCAAATGAAGCAATCAGCGCCGTTCTGATTCAAGAAGTATGGGGGCAACAACTCATTTACTTCATCAGTCGTATGTTACAGGAAGCCGAGACGAGGTATCAACTCCTGGAAAAGGTGGCATTAGGACTCGTGAACGCTGCTCGACGTCTAAGTCAGTATTTTCAAAGTCATCGTGTCGTAGTCCTAACTGATTGCCCGATTGCCAAAGTTTTGCGCAAACCAGAATTAGCAGGACGGATGATGGCTTGGTCTATTGAGTTGTCAGAATTTGACATCAGTTTTGAAGTAAGGGGTCCAGTCAAGTCTCAATTCTTGGCAGATTTTGTTAATGAATTGCAGCCGAGAGGTCACTTTGTTAGTGATTTGTGGACAAGCATGTGGACAGTTCCTCAAACAGTCAAGGTAGTGGAGCCGATATAATCCTTGAAGGACCAACAAGACTGAATCTTGAACAATCACTACGGTTTGCGTTTAAAGCTTCGAACAATCAAGCCGAGTATGAAGCACTGTTGGCAGGTTTAAGACTTGCACAAGAGATCGGAGTCAGGCGATTGGTATGTTGGACCGACTCGAAAGTTGTAGCAGAACAGGTAAACGACAACTTCCAGGTGAAAGATTCAAACTTATTGAAGTACTATCATTTGTTTCAGAGGATGCGCAGTACTTTTGATGAAGTCCAAGTGAAGCATACGTCGAGAGAACACAACGAGAGGGCTGATCAGTTAGCTCGATTAGCAAGCAGTACTCAGAAATCGGGACAGTTACGAACCACACTTCACCTAGACCTAGCAACTCCGAGTGTGGTAACTACCGAATGCATGACAATTGAGGAGCCCACTCGAACATGGATCACTGATATAACAGATCACCTTGAGCATGGCAAAGTACCATCCGACCCATCTGCTGCCAAAAAGCTCTTAGCACAAGCTGCTAGGTATACAATTGTTGGAGGAGAGTTATACCGCAGAGGATTTTCGGTCCCATTGTTGAAATGTATTGGTGCGGAGCAGGCTGGCTATGTCTTGAGAGAGATTCATGAAGGAATATGCGGTTTTCACTCGGGTGGACGAACCCTAGCCACCAAGGTGCTTCGAGCGGGGTATTATTGGCCAACCCTCAAGGATGATTGTGTAAAGTTCGTCAAGCGTTGCGTGTCATGCCAACGGCACGGTAATCTCATTCATGCTTCAGCTGAAGAGCTTCATGGTATTAGTTCACCCTGGCCATTTGCAATGTGGGGCATGGATATCCTCGGACCTTTCCCAATTGCCAAGGGCCAATGCAAGTTTTTATTAGTAGCTGTTGACTACTTCACAAAATGGGTCGAGGCCGAGCCACTCGCCAGTATCACAGCTGCTAATGTCCAGAAATTCTTAT